TAAATCGAACAATAAAAATAAAAAATCTAAAATTATAAAACCGAACTTTCTTATTAAAGGATTCCATACGTTAAATTGATATCGTTACATTATCATAATAGTTTAATCAAAATAAATAATGCAATATTATTTAGGCAGGTTAAAAGTCATTTAGGTCTATTACAAGAGGAAATTATAGAAGGGAAAAAATATAAAATTCCATCATCTCATAAATCGGCTAAATGAGGTAAAGTAAGATTTATATATGTGAAAATAAAATTGATTAATAAGGGAAGAGAAGTTTCCCAATACAAGGGATAATAATTAGCCCAATAAATAGTTTGTCTATATTTAGACTTTTATACTTTATTCTACCTAATTGAATGAAGTATGTAAATAATTTGGAAGTTGTTGTGATGTTTGTAAAGACTATGATCCATATTTAGGATTAATTTATACCAAATTTTAAAATGTATTGAGGAACCTTATATTCAATAATGTTATTTCTCATTGTTTTCATGCATTTTTAATGATTTTACATTAAATACTATAGATGCTAGTTTCATATCTTAATTTGATTAAGTAAATTAATCTAAGTTTTTGTATTTGAAGCTTAATTACGGGTTTTAATTATATACTGCAGTGAAAATAATCTTAATTAATTAATGATAATTTTTTTTTGAAGTTCAAGCTTAAGGAATGTATGATAAGAATAGAGTAAGTTTGCTAAATGGATTGAATTGCACAAATATTTTTCATTGTAATCTTTTCTTAGAATTGTAATGATAGTTAAATGTAGATTATTTATGTTAACAAAAATTCAAATGGAATGAAAGAATAAGATGTCAAATAGAAAAAATTACAAAGTATTAGATGAAATATATGTTAAATTTAGGTTTGAGTAGATATCTTAAAGCTAGCATTTACTGTTTTTAAGAATCAAACGTGACCTTTATTTAAAACAATTACTAAAAATATTTTGCCAAATCTAGGTTTTAAAAATTTGAAATAAATAACCATAATCTGTTTCTCAAATAATTAAAAGTTTTAAAATTTTAATTTCTTTATTTAAATCTGGTAGTTTATCATCCATAATTATATACATAACTTTAGTTAAATAAATTTTTCTAACCATTAATTATTACAAATTATTTTATGTAAGGCATAATTAGTCATTATTGAAATCACTGCTAAACACTTGAAAATTATAAATTTTTGAGTAATTATGAAATCAATAATTTGATCCATTCAAATAATTATACCTTTTTTTGTAGTAGATAGTAGATTCCTCTAAATTATTTAATGCTCTGACAATTCTACATGAAGACATTTTTTCTCTAATTTTAGCAAGAGTGCATTCAATGCCTTTAGAATTCTATTATTAATTAAAAATAATAACTAATATCTTAAAGTTCATAAAGGCATTAAAGGCGAGTACAATAGAATAGTAACATGGATTATATTTAAAATAATAAATCTTTTTGTATTTAGATCAATATTTATATTGTAAATCAAATTTTTAGACACTTTTTAATAACCAAGATTCAACGATGAATTTTCTAATATAAGAGAAAAAGCTTAAAGAATGAAACGTTATCAAGATTATTTCCTTAAAATTTTAAGACATCTGTATATATAATGATTTTAATAGTCTTTTCTTCAACTTAACTTCTGGTGTATAAAATTATAATCCGTGATAACACATCAAATCATGTTTCTAATTTGAGAGGCTACTGAATTAATTTAGAATCTTAATTTTTTATATGATTGACTTATTCTTTCATTTATTCAAGTATTGACAATATTAATTGTTTTAATCAATTTCCTTGAAATTTGGATATCCAAAATAATAAATTTTTAGAGAATTTCCCTCTAAAAACTCAAATAAATTAAAAATGTTTTAATAACCTTAGATTTTAAGTTATCACGATCTAATAATTTAAAAAAAATTACGCTATATATTATGCCAAGAATTGTAGATGATAAACAATGGTTTTAGGTGATTTATTAAGTACTTGTGATTAAAGAATTATATCTGTCTCCAAATTGTATAGAACTTAATCTTAACAAATAGTTTAATGTAATTAAATTAGGAGTATATAGACATTACTAATGGATAGAGTATTGGGCATAAATCAGTGCAAGGATAGATGAACTCATGATGCATTATGATTGTTGTATATTTTACAAAGATAGATATGAAGACATCAATAGATTGATATAGAATTATTTGACATTGGGAATCTGCCTTAACTCATTATATATTACTAAATTATAGTAATTTCTTAAGTTGAAATTAGTTGCCATGTTGTCCAACATAATAATCAAGAAAATTCTTATAAATATCTAAATTAATCCTTTATATCTTATTTATGATGATAAGCCATCTAACAATTCTATATTTCTCGCATAATAAGATAGGAGATTTATTTCATCTAAAACAAATAAAAAATTGATTAATTTACTGCAAATAAATAGTAATTATAAAGGAAAAAGATGATTTCAAAAATAAAAGGAAGAATAATATAATTTTTGAATTATTTAATTCACAATATTTTTATTTCTATTCTTTCCGTCCATCATTTACTAATCTATTTTTTCTCATATTTAGAGAATATCCATAACATTAATTTTTACATAATTCATTATCCATTAATAATTAAATGTTATATTCTCTGAATTTTCTTAGATTTTAATTGATTAGGAATTCCATTTAATTAGTTTTTTTCGTGATAATAATAATCTAATTAAATCAATTATTCATTTTCATAATTAAACTTGTAAAATATAAAATAAACTAAATTATCAGTGACTAAAATATTTGAAGAATAATCAACAAGTAAATCATCATTGCTCATCTCTTCTCATTTGGCAGAAAGGAGTATAAATATTCTGATAATACCAGGACATAAGATCAAGATTAATGATGGAAGGGGATCTGAAGTTACAAGAGAGTCTAATCTTGCTCAACCATTTACACTTTCAAATGTTATGAAGAATCAGTGGAGCCATCAAATCTCTTAAGTGAAAAAGGAATTATCCACAAAGGAGGATTAGTCCATTAAGTACTATGTCTATTAAGAAAAAATTTTAGTCTTCAATTTTTAGTAGGATAATTTACAAATGAACAGGATACTACAAAAAATAAAAGATGAAGATGAATGATTTGCCTCTATCTATACATTGTATTATTAATTACATCGTCGCTTTAATCATCTTAAATTTTCTTTATTGAAGTAGAAATTATTTAATTCAGTATCGTTTTTATGAAGGTCTTTTACTACCGCATCTATTTTGTATTATTAATATTATATTTAGAAGTCATTCTATAACTTAAATTTTTTTAATCTATGTTAAATATAATCCCTTCTTTGAGTCAAGAACGGCCTTGATTTCCCAGTTCTTTTTAGCTCTATTGGTAAGTTTATTTAGGCTTTTATTTTGGTATAGCTTCCATACCATATCACAAGATTTAGCAGCTTTGTTTCTATTGAAATAATAAACTCTCTTATCGAATGTCGATATAATAAATCCAGGTTTATGGATATTTACGGCTAGAAAAGGGTTATAAAAAGTAGCTTCTAAAAAGAAAAAATCTAATAAAAGATCTTTTACATTTTTGCTAGTAATACGTAAACAGATGAATTAAATTCATTCTTTTATAATGGTGATTTCATTAATATTTAATATTCTATTTATCTATTAATAATTAACAATAAAAATTCTAGCTTTACATATCCAATGATAGAAATGCACTTTTAATTTATTAATTAGTGTGTAATTTATAATTAATCCTCTACTTGAATAATAGAAATATAACTTATTTGCAAATTTAGTTTATAAAATCTATTACCTAAAATTTTTTTGCCTAATTCAAACTTGCTTATTAAAGTTTAGCATTTTGAGTTATAGTAAGAGTCTGATAGACTTAATAGATACTCAGGTTAATTTACTTAAGTCTTTTGCGGATCTTCACCAAAATTATTAATTAAAATTAAGTAAGCATTCTCATCTAGGCATTTTCTTAGATCCAAGTCTAATGCTATCTATGCATGCAAAAAGTTTGATCGTTTTATAAGAATAAGAAGTCATAATTACTGAATTTTTTGAGCTGATTTTTTATACTTACATTTTTGTCTCATTCTATACTTCTTATAATCTTGTGCCTATATATAGTGATTGATCTTGAATTTTTCTTCTTTTAAATATTTTTGCACATTCAAAAAAGAACCACACCTGTATTATATTATTAATTTTGGTGTTTTACTTTCCATAATTATTTAGCTAGTGATTTTTTATACTTCAAAAGTAACATTTAAATACATAATTCTTTAAAGAATCAAATCTCTCTGGATCTTTATAATATGAAGATATAATAAAGTACCTAAAAGAATTGCCAGTCTCTTGTGATCTTTAAACCTCTTTGGTGTATTGTGAGATCTGAGATAAAGTATTTTTCCAAATCGGCGTATATAAAATGCCCTAGGTAAAATCTTAGTCATTTTATCATTATTGTTGGAATTTAAATTCATTTTCCATTTAAACAGAATTAACTTTTCTTTAACTAATACTTCTATGAGATTAAAAGTATATTTATAGAACGAGCAAGTTTCAATAGTATCTTGAAGCAGGAGTTTTGCCAATAATTCCTAGATACTTCTGCTCTTAAAGATTTGCTCAAAAAAATCTCCAGTTTGGTTCATTCCTTTTTAGGCTGAGATTATTATCAGGGCAATATCTATTTATGACATTAGTTTAAAACTAAGAGTTTGTTTTTTTTTTTTGTACTTTACAGTTGACACTCACATATAAGTAAACATAAATTTTATTTTTAATTTGCCCATATAGAAAAATGAAAGTAATTTTGGGTATTTAAACTGCTATTTTGAAAGTTGAGAGGATATAAGTTAAGTAAGGAGTGTAATATTTTGAATATTTCTTATCAAACATAACTGTTTAAATGGTATTCTCAGTAAATAGACGAATTATTTAATCGACAGTATTATCTAATTTTAAGCATAACCTTATTAATTGGAATGTTACATTTGGGATATCACTCTTTTATATAGCTCATTTTGAGAGTTATGTAAGGATTCGTGCAAGTAACTTTAGAAATATTGATTACAAGATTAATCCAAAACAATTATTAGATAACCATAGGCAAATATTTAAATTATCTAAAATGTGCTTTATAATGACAGTTTACATAAATGTGTACTAAAGCAAGCTATCTGTAACTTATTGAAAAAAAGAGAAAGAGAATGTGATAGTTCATAATGTATCATTTAAAGTTGTAAAAAAGGAGCAAAATTATTTGCTACATTTAAGAATGATCATAAGCATTATAATATAGGTGAGACCACTAAAATAAAACAAGAAAAACCTATGCTCTTATAAGATTCGAAAAAATTTATATATATTTCTATCTTAATTTGTCTGTAATTCTCTTATAATAAAAGAATGAGAATTTATATCAGGCTTATAGGAAAATATTAGATATTTTGATGAACTAAAAGAAATACAAGAAGCAATCAACTTAACTTAAACTTAAAAATCAAGTAATAAAGGTATTAAAAGAATCGGTAGAGCGTATTTCAGCTAGCAGAATTAAAACCTGAATGAATTTGTAAATTAATTAAAGACCATATATAAGTTTTGAGAAAGAATTTGATGTATATCAAATATAAAAAATTTAAGTGATTTAATCCAACAGAAAAATGAGTCTAAATCATAAATACTCAAACCTAGAACTTAACTTGTCGACTCAAGAATTTTTCGTAACATTTCCACTATAAGTTAGTAGTAATTACCACAATTGTAGAAAAATATTGTGAAATTCAAATTTGAATATGTAACTATGTTTATGTATATTTTAAAATTTAATAAAAAATGATAGGAATATTTATGAAAAATTTATATTAAATATAATATATTATTCGAACGTTGATTTATATAGTAATTGTATAAATAATAATATATATATTCTTCTTGAATAGGAGTGTATATAAAATTATATATAATAGCATATATAACTTATATCAATATTTAATTTATGATTCATGAATAAGAACATATTGTTACCTTAATTATTAATCAGCCAATAGAGATGGGTGAATTTGGAATATAGGAAGCAATTCAACTATTCGAACTCTTTGGATTGCCATATTAAGAATTGTTCAGATAATATTTCCCTATAATTTAATTTGCAAAAAATATGAAATAACATCTTCAACTCTACCAAATTACCTTTGTTGATGTTTAATTAATAGATTTAGATTTAATACCAAAAGTTTTAAATCGATCCATCTTAATGCATGATATCTTATAAATAATCAGTAAAGGCAATACAATAAAAAATATGTTACCTTGAGCTCTATAATATATCTAAATCTCAATCTTACATGTATGTGTGATATCACCATAAAAAAAAATAAGAGAAAAGAATTTTGCAAGAAATTATGAATTAAACAATCGAATTTATTTAGGCCCAGTTTCTCTTGCTCAAGATTTAGCATTTTTGATGGCCAATTAAGCATTAGTATAAGAAAATAATTTAGTATTTGATTCTTTTGCAGGAAAAGATAGTCCCTTAGTTGCTTGTTCTAATTTTGGAGCAATTTGTTTTGGTTCTAAAATATACGGTAATGTAATATATATTTTAAAATATTTAGTTGATAAAAGGACATTGTATTGGATATATAAATAAAAAGAGTACTTATCTCAAAGATCCAAATTATAAATAAGTTAAACCCTATATAAATTTGAACTTTTAATAATATAATCTTTCTATTCCTAATTTTATATTGTTAAAAATAATTATTTAAATAAATAATGTCTAGACTATTTATTAATCAAAATATAAATAAAAAATTAAAATTTATATCAATTCTACAAACTGATGTCCATTTTATATTTACTAATTTATTAGAATAAGTTTTCTTATTTAGTGATTTATAAGTCTATAGATTATTTCTTTGATTTGAAGATATGCCTAAAAAATTCAAGATTTAAGGTTTTTACTTCTTGAATCTCAGAATTTATATACTCAATTTGTATTATTTTGATTAAAAAAAAATTATAATGAGTAGAATTGATTAATGGATAATTAAATAACATNTATATAAAATTATATATAATAGCATATATAACTTATATCAATATTTAATTTATGATTCATGAATAAGAACATATTGTTACCTTAATTATTAATCAGCCAATAGAGATGGGTGAATTTGGAATATAGGAAGCAATTCAACTATTCGAACTCTTTGGATTGCCATATTAAGAATTGTTCAGATAATATTTCCCTATAATTTAATTTGCAAAAAATATGAAATAACATCTTCAACTCTACCAAATTACCTTTGTTGATGTTTAATTAATAGATTTAGATTTAATACCAAAAGTTTTAAATCGATCCATCTTAATGCATGATATCTTATAAATAATCAGTAAAGGCAATACAATAAAAAATATGTTACCTTGAGCTCTATAATATATCTAAATCTCAATCTTACATGTATGTGTGATATCACCATAAAAAAAAATAAGAGAAAAGAATTTTGCAAGAAATTATGAATTAAACAATCGAATTTATTTAGGCCCAGTTTCTCTTGCTCAAGATTTAGCATTTTTGATGGCCAATTAAGCATTAGTATAAGAAAATAATTTAGTATTTGATTCTTTTGCAGGAAAAGATAGTCCCTTAGTTGCTTGTTCTAATTTTGGAGCAATTTGTTTTGGTTCTAAAATATACGGTAATGTAATATATATTTTAAAATATTTAGTTGATAAAAGGACATTGTATTGGATATATAAATAAAAAGAGTACTTATCTCAAAGATCCAAATTATAAATAAGTTAAACCCTATATAAATTTGAACTTTTAATAATATAATCTTTCTATTCCTAATTTTATATTGTTAAAAATAATTATTTAAATAAATAATGTCTAGACTATTTATTAATCAAAATATAAATAAAAAATTAAAATTTATATCAATTCTACAAACTGATGTCCATTTTATATTTACTAATTTATTAGAATAAGTTTTCTTATTTAGTGATTTATAAGTCTATAGATTATTTCTTTGATTTGAAGATATGCCTAAAAAATTCAAGATTTAAGGTTTTTACTTCTTGAATCTCAGAATTTATATACTCAATTTGTATTATTTTGATTAAAAAAAAATTATAATGAGTAGAATTGATTAATGGATAATTAAATAACATATGGATTAACTTTTATCAATTTATTTATTTGCGCTATTATAATTGTCATCCGATTATAATTTGTTAATTTATAATTTTATTTTTGCATTTAATTAATTAAAACCGAGAAGTCAAATATGAGACAATTTAAGTAAACTAAAAACCTTTCTTCTGATCTTCTATTATGTAAATTGCATCTAAGAGAATTACTTCAAATTTTAAAACCTGTAGTAAATATTTTAGAGTAAAATAAAAAAAAAATGCATATTATTTAAATAATCATATTTAGATGATATTATAAAAACACAAACAAGAGATTATTGTGGATTAAGAGTTGTTAGAAAGCAAATGTGATATAAATATTAAATTTATCTGACACTTAATTAAAATGATGATTATCAAAAAAATGTGTAATAAAACTTGATACAAGAAATTAATATGAATGCTGAATAGCATGGAGTATTCAATAAATATGCTAAATGATTCCCTTTATTTAAAAACTCTGTGTTTCAAATCAATAAATGAGAGAGTTTTATCATGTAACATAACTTAAAAAAATAATAAATAATAAGATATATTTCCTTATTTTATTGTAATTCATTTTCTTAACATCATTCAAATAAACCCCCCATATCGTCGTCCTCTGATGTTCCTCTTAAGCATAAAATTAAATGAATTGTAGATTCATGTACTATTCCGTAATCTAATATGGTTTTATATTTTTTCAATGTTTATCCAGCAAAAATCAATCTTTATTAATCGGCTGGAATTCCTTCCTTATCTTAAATTTATAAAGCTAGGGATTCAATTGTATCTGTTGATTCAACATCAAAAACAATGGTTTTTCCAGTTAATGTTTTAATGATAATTTGCATTTTATTTTAAATATTAATGGTAAATAAAATAGGATACGCTAAATACATAAAACTTAATTAATTCGGTTAAATTTTGTTATATATTTTATTGATATTATAATTGAAAGTTATTGAATTTAAAATTACTCATCTAGTATAAATTTAGATTAAATGATTGTTTTGTTTTTTAGAGGGAAATATTATAATTTCAAATTAATTTAATAAATTGACTTATAATAAATTCATGAGCTGTCTTAATACAAATAGAGAGTTGATTGGTTTTCGATATTATAATCTTAAAGTGATTTTTCGTCATCTAATTATTCTCTTTCAAAAATGATTTTAAATTAATCAATTTCTATATCTAATTCTTAAATTATTAAGGCATAACTTCCTTGATTTACACACATACATAAGAAAATTAAATTTTAGAAATTTAGCACGATTGATTGATATTTCTAATAAAAGATTATTACCAATTATAATTGAAATTGAATCAAATCAAATCAAGAAATTTCAGAGAAATAATAATAATAATAAAAAGTGTTATAATAAGAATCAGAATTAATTCAATTAGCTTAATATCAAAATCCAACTTAAGAACAATTAAATTGTTCATAATGTGCTAGTAAGAAAAGTAATCAAACAGTATTAAAAAAATTAGCATTAAGATGTGCTATTTGTAAAAACTATTTCCATAGTTCATGTTTAAGAATTGAGTAACCTAAAAAAGTATTTGTAGGTCCAGAATGTTTATTAATTGGAATAGATCCATTGCATAAATTAAAAGAATCAATTTTAGATCCTGTAATATTTTAATTGATACAAGGAAAAGCGAATTAATTTACATAAATATTTCAGATGAAAAAGGGATTACCTTCAGAACAATTAATAGAATTGAGATTTATTAAGATTGATGGATAAAACGAGGATATCTCATGGCCTAATTAAGGTGATTTATAGTTGAATGAAAAAATGATTCAAGATTTCAGAATTATAGTTTTTTGAAAAAAAGGAAGGATGAAAAATTAATGCTTAATATTGAATAAGGACAAGTTAATATTCTAACAATTAGAGAATCAAATGGAACACATGAAATGAATGTTTATCGAATAAATTAAGGATTCCATATATGTTAGGAATATTTTAAGTCAAAGTATATAAATTAAGTGAGTTAATAAAAAAAGTTAAGATAAGCAGTCACAGAATGATGAATTTTCTAACCAGGGAGGATAAAAATTTAGAGCATCTGCTTACTAAAAAAGAGTTAGAAACTATTAAATCCTATGCAATATGTGAGAAATAAAATTATAATTTCCAATTTGTGAAGAAAATCATTGAGCAGCTTTCTAAATTTAACATATGCAAAGAGAAAACTTTTTGAAAGCAAAAGAAAAACTTGAGCGTTTTGTTATTGCGTTTAATTATTTGAAGATAAGCAGCTTACTCAAATCGCCAAGAGTTAGAAAATATTGAGAGAGGAGTAAAATAATTGAAACCCTTGAAATCCTCTACAAGTGCTGCTTATTGAAACACGGTAAAAAACTTATTTAGGAAATAAATTATGATTAAATTTGCATACCCATAAAACGATATATCATTCAAGAAGATCTTAATATAAAAGTAATTGCTATTTCGCGGATGATATTATTATTTTTTGACCATTATATATCCTGCAGCTTAAAGATCTTAACCAAAAGATTTATTAGCAAATAAATTAGTACATCAATTCAATTAGAAATTTTAAGTTGATTAAAAATTAAATTCTATGTGATAATCCTACAATTTTAAAGGGAGGGTAATTGAAATTAAATTAAATGACTGAATTAAATTGGATGATATCTTTATTTGAGCTGATAAAATGGGTTTAGGAAAAACGATATAAACTATTGGATTTTTAGCTTTTTTGAAGGAATAGAAAAAGTTTAGTGGACCTTATAAGATAGTGACTCCTAAGTCGACATTAATTAATTCGATGAGAGAATTTAAATTATGGTTACCTCTAATTATTATAAGTTTTGTGCATGGTTACTAGTTCTATTGACTGATTCTTGTAAGAAAATATAAATAAAGGTCAAAGTGTGTTTGACCACCTTTATCAGGTCTGTTGAAACCCTCTTTCAAAAATTAATGTTTTAGGTGTAATAAATAGAGTCTTTGGATTCGGTAAAACTATAGCATGCATAACTTAAAAATATTGTCTAAAGGCCAACGAGAGCAATTAAAATGTTGTATATATATTTATGGGTCTACCCACTAAATTGATTAGTTTTTTAAGGATGATTGAAGCTACTTCTTCACTATTAGCGCCTCCTTCAGTTCAAGCCATAAAGTGATTTTACTGTTTGATTTTAAAAGTTCAAAATTTATATAATAAACTTTAGCAATATTATAACCTAATTCTAAGATAACTTATTGGCCCTATTTTTTTTTCCTCTTAAATTTCAGAAATTAATTATTTTATTGGATTTCAATTAAATATATAATTTATAGAAATATTTTGATCAATAGATTAAAAATGTCTAATCACCATTGTTTCATAAATATAAATAAAATATTTACTTTTATTCTAAAAATGATATTAGAATTGATTGTCCTTGTATCAAAGGAATTTGTAAGTCTATTTATTCCTAAATTTAATATGTATATGATCTTCTTCCTATCTTTAAATTATTATAATGGATATATCTTATAGTATGGCCCCATTTGTGAAAAGCAATTTATTAAATTATATTATATTATTGCATGTTTAATATTTTAACTTTTAATAAATCATTAAATTTATTTTTAGCCATATGTTTTTGTGTATTTATGGGATATAAATTGATTGAATCAATTTCAAAATATTATATTGTGAATCACTACTATCAGTTTTTCTTTTTTATATTTAGTCATTTAAAGTAATTAAAATTTTCAATTAAGGCTGTAAACTTGCTGATCAATAAGTATAAGTTACAATAAATAAAGAATAAAATGAATTTAGAATAACAATAATAGAAATAATCAGTATAAAGAGGGTGAGACTTCTGTAAAACAGTTTTATTTTGTTTGTGTTGGCAATTTATTATTTATTATTTAGTAATGTGTTCTGCTTTTCATCTTTATATAGGCGGAGCAGGTGTAATGATGGGAGATATCTTATGGAAACTTTATACAAAGGAATAGAGTGATACAAATGTAAAAACTATATTTATACTGAAAGTGATAATAATAATTATCCACTATCACTTTATGCAGATTTAGATGATCGAATGATAAACGAAGTTAAAAAGAATAAATCTATTCATTATAAATCTAATTCTTTTGTTACAGAAAAAGAAGATGCTGCCAACAATTATTTTAAGGCTTATTACACTAGAAAGGAAATGTGTGAGATTGGATTAAACTAAGTAAGAAAATAAGTAGAAAGCATGGATAGATTAGATTAATTCATCGTAACATCTGCCTTAAGTAGTGGAACAGGATCAGGATTTACTTCTTCAGTGTTGGAAAGATTATTGGTTGAATATAATCTAAAAGTTGAAAAAAATGCATTCTTTATATATCCTTCATAAAGAATGTCTAATAATATAGTAGATGTCTATAATGCTGTTTCAGCTACTAATATGACATTAGAGCATTGTAATTCTGTTGTTATGTTTGATCTTCAATCAATGTATAATGTCATAGATCTGTAGATCAAAGACTATGAGGAAGGATGACATTAAGGAGGATTAGTAGAAGATGAAGAGATTGAATGAAGTTAATAAACTTTAAAAGCAGAGATTTTAGAATTTGAATATATATTCTAAAAGATATTTCGTCAATTTTTACTAATAAAATTCTAAAATTAAGGCATATTACTTGATTAAATTGATTGTTCTTAAAATAAAATTAAATATGATATAATTAGCTCTATCACCATTCTAAATTTATTATTCAAATGATTTAGTTTTTAATTAACTTTTTTGAAAGATTTCTTAAGATTAGATTTTATATAGATTATGATACTGTTATTTTAAATCAGTCCAAGAAGTTATAATTCGTTTGATATGCAAATTAGATTTGATTCAATATTCATATATAAATACTAAAATATTTTTGTATATTTTTTAAACCATCTAAATGAAATTACATTATATGATCAAAAACAAACTTACATTACTATTTATTAATAATTAATTTTTATTACAAATCTTTAGATTAACTTATAATTGAAGAAAATGAAAAGAAAATATAAACCATTAAAGGGTTAGGGTTTGCCTTTGTAGATTTGGCTCAGAAGTCAAAATTGACAATTATAATAAATATTTGAAAATTGTGATCTAAGAATTTAGTCTAAATTGTTTCAATATTCTACGAAATTAAAGAATCTTGTTGATTATAATATTATTAAGGAAACTGTATATTTTCATTTTAATTCCTACTAAATGTTCTCTTTTATTTCTTATTAATTAAAACTTGAAGAAACAGTCAATTATTCCATATTATATTTTATTGGGTTTTTATATAATTTAACATGAAGAAATTAATTATACTAATTGCTTAGAAAAAACTTGCTTGAATAAACCAATTCCTTCAAACAATCAATCAGAATGCAATGAATTAAATGAATTAATTACTTATATTAGAAGAACTGAATTTAGATCATATGATAAATTATTTAAGACTTAAAGATTTGATTTATGTAAATTTAATAAAAATGAAGGAAGATGTGAAGATTGTAATAATTCAATTTTAGTGAATTTTGCAGATAAAAATGTAGGTGGTTTAAGTTTAGATCCAATAAATATTGCTTAAGAGGAAGTAATTATAAAAAATTATTAGTTAATTAGGTTTTAATTAGTTGCATTCACAAAAGCATAGAATGATTTATGGTAGGAATAAAAATAATTATAAAATAATAAATAAGATTAAAAAATTAAAATAGGAAGAATTATCTTTTTTAGTGCTTTTCATGATAAAGAGTTTTTAAAATAAATGGAATATTACTTAAATTTGTTTCAAAAAATCGATTATCCAGATAGCAATTTATATAATTTAAGAGATTGATAAGTTCAATAAATAGATTAAATAATAAAGGAAATCAAATTTTTGAAAATTTATAAGAAATGATATAATTATGTAGATTAATAAATAAAATAATCACATATTTATTAATTTAAATGTTTGATGGATATTGTAGGTAAATAATGTAACCTACACGTGTTGTATACAATAAATCAGATTTAAAATGTTCATGATATAAATGTAATAAATAAACTTAATCATGAATAATCTATTTCTAGATTGGAAGCTGTATAATATGCACCATTTGTATTGAAAAGTGATTTTAATATCGAACCATCAATATAAAAAAATCTGTATATCCGTATCAACTAAAGATGAAAATTGAAATTAAAAATTGGAAGCAATCATGTTTTTGGAAATTGATTATTAAATGATTAAATGAATTTTAAAGAAATGAAGAAATTTAACCTTTTAGAAGAGTAATATTATTATTTTGTTTACTTTAAATACTCTTGATCTCTCCACAACTTAAAATTTTGTTGTATTTATAGAACTTTTTCTCTATATAAGATTGAAAATAGATCAGAAATTTAACAATGCTAATTTAGTTTATTCTAGCGAATTTAAGCTAATTCTCTTTTAATATTTTGATGATAATTATCAAAACTATTTTAAGAAGGATAATTGTCAAAAATTAATATAAAATTTTATTTTCTCATTTATTTGACTCAGAAAGTTAGTAAAAATAAGGTAACTAATTTAAAAAAAAATTCTCTTCTTTAATAGTATCCATTCAAATTATTTTTTTAGTAATTAGAACTTTTATAAAAATCTCAAAAAGTTTATAATTATAATTATAAGTCTAATATATAGAAATTTGAAATTAAACTTTTTAAGGGAAAAAAAAACAATATATTATATATATATGGATTAAGTTTATAGTATATAAATTTCATTACATATTGATAGAATTTTATTTAATTTTTTTCATGACAATTTAACTTAATTTGATGTTATTTTGCCTTAATACTTGAACTTATTTGATTTTTCTAATTTTCTAAGTGGGAGCTAATTGGAGACTTACAATATTTAGCAAATTTAGGTGGTAATTTCTGAGAATGATTGGTAACAACACTCAAAAATAGCTTAACTAAAATACAGATAAGCTAATAAGAAATTATTATCCAGATGATTAATCATAAAAATTTTACGACATCCTTATAAAAGCTGATTAAGTTAATTAATCCAGCTGATATTTTTTTGGATTACCATTGTAAATTTTGATAATAGAATTATTTATTTCTATTTGATTAAATTGAAAATTATTGGAAAGTAATATAATTATTTTTTTTAAATTAATGGGCTAAAGAAGTTTAAATCAAGAAAATAATTTACAATAGGAAATTGAAATTATTTCCATTACTCAAGTTTACAAGTAAAAGGAAACTTAATTAGGTATTGTGATATTTGGTGTCCATGGAAGGAAAATCAATTTGACATTTCAAGAGAACTTAAAAAATGGCATGTAACTGAAGAATCAAATAAATGGATTAATTTTTATTGTTGTTAACAAAGATGGATGAAACTCTTGTTTACAAACTTGGATGACTAGACTTAATATGAAGGAGAAAGTAAAAAAATTATATAATTCAGGACCAATCATTATCATACCTTGCTCAGAGGAATTAATGAAAGTTAAGAAGAAGTATGCTCATAATCATTATGGACCTGAGATAGGAAAAATATAGGCTGTTTAACAAATATGTGGAGATTCAAAAATTTGTGAAAAACCATGTTTTAAAATAATCCAAGATGCATAAACCTTTGTTATAACGATTGACAAAAATTCACTATCTCAATATTGTCTGAGATAATGTTGCTTACCTCATTCTAATATTCTATATAATATTCATGAAAAAATGCCAAACTCAAACTCTTATTTACGAATTGGATCCATTTATGTTAACTTTTAAGGTATATTCAAAGAATATTGCACAAGAGGAGATTTATTTACAATGCACATCCCTAAAAATTTGAATGAAGAAACAAAAATCTTATTAATATTTGGTTGCTTGTAACTAAATTATCAAGAATATGAACAAATGATTAATTTACCTTGATTATTTTACATTTTAAAATTGAAATGTATCACAAAATATTTTCTGAACTTTCTCCATTATTTATCAATTCTTATATCTAATCAAACTAAATAAATTTGAAGTTTCATAATTCCTTTTTCTTAATTTAAAATGATGTTATGCTGGGTATTATGTTTCTTTCAGTAGTCACATAATGTTGAATTCTCTAACCATGTTGTTGAATCTGCTAATTTATTTATTTTGAAAAAAAAAAAAATTTTCCATATCCAATACCTACCATAATCTTTTCAAGGACCAAGATTTTTGGTAGTGATAGCCCAATTGTAGCTAGTCTTGTTCTGCCTGTTGCTTGGTGATAGCCCTTTTGTCTT